TTTTTTGCATAACCCTCTTAAAGATACGCACTTTACGTAATCGTTAACGTAGTAATAGTAATACTAATAATCTATACAGTATTAATATTACAATTTATTGTGAATAGTTGATTTGAAAAAAAAAAATAATAATAGAGGTGTATTATGTATTCTGTTAAACATGAATACTTAAAATTCTATCAAATATCTTGTATAATATTAAAATCTATCAGTGGCTAAGCGTAAATCCGCATTATTATTTTCTGACTGGATTTTATAACAGACTGTATAACAGACGGTTGTACTGCATTTACCACGCCCAATATGTTTATGTCATATATCCGAGTAGTATATAAAATGAAGTTATAACAGAGTAAATCGGTTTTCTAACTTGAAGTCGATAGCTTTAATATCGGAGGGACGTACATACATATACATACAGACATAGCACATAACGAAATTTAAAGAATTTGTTTGATTATTAAACTTACTAAGAGCACATTAAAAATATCCATTTAGGGCATATTGGTTCTCGAAAAATGTGTGTAACAGGCAGCGGGAGGCATGACAGATCCCAGTGCGCGAAGAGAGTGTTTATATATGTGTATATATTTGTATATGTGTGTATGTATTGCTTGTTATAAATATATAAAAGAGGCATAGTGTAATTGATATAGGGTATCTCCTAGTAGAGCACTCCCTACTAGGCCTTAGTTGTTCTTTTTAGTTAAAGTCTAGTTTTGATTACTTAAACACACACACTCAGTTTCCAATTCAAATACATATCTGTGCATATAGACATACGCACTTACACATACACACGCATATATACACAAGTTAGTAAAGAAAAGTGTTTATATGTGGTTTGACCTTGGCATGTTCGCAACTTTTCATGCGTACATCCGATTAGCATATATGCATATCAATTTATATGCGTATAAAACGAGCTTCCCTTCTCTTTCTACCTCTTTCTCACTCACCCTCTCTCTCTCTGTCTCTCTCTCTCTGTCTCACCCCTCTCTTAGTAAATCTGCCCAAATGACACTTTCAATAGTTTGGCGCAATTTGCATGCTTGACACCGGCGTCAAAGTTTCTATATGCAGTGCATACCACCCACATATGTATGTACACCCAGCCAGCTCTACCAGCACCCGCTCTTCGAGTGCGGGAGCGCTCATGTCACTCAAGCGCCACGCTGCGACACAGTTAAGTCGATCATCGGCGTGCGGGCGTGCGACTAGATAAGAGCTGGAACTGTAGCTAGAGCTGTAGCTGTAGCTGGAACTAGAACTGGTTCATTGAACTACCGCCCAGTTTGGTGCTCCCGCCGCTGAAGGACTTGAGCTGGCAGTAAACACATTTATTTTTGGGCGCCAATTGCAAATGTAATTGACATGGTTTCATTTTGCCAAAATAGACAAACACGGCAACTGGTGTGGCCACCCTCGCATTTGCACGAATTAATTTCTATTTTGGGCCATGCCCCCATCCGCCATCCGCCATCCGCCATCCGCCATCCGCCATGTTGCATGTGTGCGAAATTGAGCTCAGCATAAATTGCAAACTAATGCAAAATAATTTGATTTAAATTTAGCTGCAGTCGAGGGCACAGTAGGTCACTCGGTCAGTCAATCACTCAGTCACTCACTCCGTCAGTCAGTCAATCAATCAAGCTGTAACACTTTTGCATCCACAGCGCCAAGGCGGACAAGAATCGCATCAATCTGAATATTGTGCTGGCCCAGACCATACGCGCCACCAACGAGCAGGAGGCGATTCACAGCGACATCGACAGCGCCACGGAGTGCAGCGAGCTGCCCAAGCAGCAGACGACAGCCGCACCTGTAACAGGAGCAGGAGCAGGAGCAGCAGCAGGAGCAGCAGCAGCAGCAGGAGCAACCACAACCGAGCAAAGCGTCTCCTCTGCTCTGACCGTGCAACGGCGTCCGCCTCTGGTGCGCGCCATGTCCGCTCCGGTGCGCCTGGACGAGAGCAGCAAGTCCGTCCTGGCCGCGTCCAGCAAGCGCAGTCAGCAGCAGAAGCTGCGCCGCCGCAAGGTCTTCTCGCGTGCCACCTCCTCGGTGGCTGTGGCCGTGCCAGCGGACAGCAGCAGCTCCCTGCTCAGCTCCGATGCCGGCGGCTCCACTAAGAAGTCGCTGAGTCGTGCGCGCAGCGTCATTGCGCCGGATGTCATCACGCTCGTCTCGCTGCTCAGCTCCGAGGGCAGCGACTCTGAACGGGAGGAGAACTCCTCCGCGGCCACGCCCACCGGCGGCGAGAAACTGTCGACGTCAACATCGCAGCGCAGTCCACAGCGCAGGGCGCCGCTGCTGCGCAAAACGGGCAAATCGGGTAAGCCCAATAAGAGTGCACAGTACACGGGAATTCCAATTGGAACGGGACTGGGAAGTGTCAAAGTCAAATTTTAATTATTTGAGATGTCGAGAATATTGATCAATATATGTTAGCTTATAGTTAGGGTTAGCATAAATTCCAATTGGAATATATGAGAGCTTTAAATAATCCATTTTGAGCTATGCCAAATGCTGGAAATAGTTGACTTTGAATGTCAGTTATTAGATAGGGCTTTTAGAATATATAGAGAGTCTTGAAATGGATAATCTGGGGCTTACAAATTCCAACGGAAATTCAAATTAGAATATGTGAGACATTCAGAGATTAAGAGTGATATGCAGAGAATTGTTGACTATGAATATTAGCTTTTAAGTAGTTGGGATGTACATATAGATATATTTAAAACATAAACAACAAACAAGTTCTAATTGTTAATTCGAATATCTAATAATTATAATTAAATAAATGTTAGATACTGGTAAGGGCTCATAGAAAATATGTAAAACCTTTTGATTTGAATGATCTAAATAATCTGTAAGACAAAACTGATTGGATTCTTTAAGTTAGCTGGGCTATAGATAATCAATAGAATAATTGTCAAACTACTTAATCATTATAATAGTTTAATTAATAGTTTAATAATCTGCTTAGCTGTCTAGCTATATACACATATGTATTGTATACTAGACACATATATGATGAAAGTTCATTCTGTTTTCCTTGATTATCAATTATTGGGTAAATTATATAATATTATTGTTTATCAACATATGTATTTAATATTATTATTTACATTTCATTTATTTGCCCATTGTCCGCTGTACTAACTCTTGTTGCAGTCTCGTTTCAAGATAGCTATCCGCCCACCTTTCAACTGGCCTCCAAGGAGTACTCGCACATGATCAGGCGCGGATCGATAGCGCCGCTGGCAGCGCGGATTCGTGCCAATCGGCCGCCGACGGCGCCGCCCGTCTCCATATTCCTGAGCGAGGCGGGCAACAAGCCGGGCGCTCAGATGGAGTCCAGGCAGCAGGAGCTGCTGGCCGACTCAGCTGGTTCGTCCGCGGAGGAGGCCAAGAAGGAGAACAATGCGGCCAACTGCAATGTGCAGCAGCAGCAGCAGCAGGAGCAGCAGGAGCAGGAGGAGCAGCAGCAGCAGGACTACAATTTCCCTCTGTACGTGTGCAGCATCAAGGAGCGCGAGTGCTGGAAGCTGCACCAGAAGATGTGCGCCAAGGGCGTCAGCGTTAGCTACGACACGGTGCTGCGCGGCATGCTGACGCCCACGGAGTTCCGGCACTTCCAGAAGCAGCGCGAGCACGAGGAGGCCAAGGCGCAGGAGGCGGCCGATGCCGAGGCCGAGGCAGCCGCCGCAGCCGAGAAGGACCACAAGAAGACGCCGACCACGGCCATCGAACGGCTCTCCGAGTCCCTGCTGCAGCGGGACTGAAGCGCACCAGACAGAGGACCAAGTTATATGCATTTGCCTCTCTCGAACAGAGAAATCCTAGTCAACGGCCCCAAGGCAGGGCCCAAAGAGATCTTCAATACAGTAGCAGTAGCGCGCACTCGTTAAATCGCAATGCACCCAGCTGCGGCAGCCTTTTGTAGTTTCTATCCGAACTATCTGTAGCTGTATCTGTAGCTGCATCTGTATCTGTAGCTGACAGCAATAAAGTGTAGCAATCAAAAGAATCCCCCCTCCCGAGTCCATTCTATGGAGCAAATTGATTTATTCAATAAAAATACGTATGCATAGAAAGCAAAAGTTAAGACTACGACGGCCGCGCGAATACCCTGTAAAGCAGAGTATCGAAGGGGCGGCTCAGGATGTTCGGTAGTTGAGCTTGGCTTATGACTAGGAAAATAGCTGAAATATCGAAAATTTTAGGAATTTCGAATGATTTGTTGCGTTTTCATATTGAGTACGAGGCTCGCTCAGTCAGTTGAGGGAAGTTGGATTATTCAAATATTTTGATATATTATGATATATATGTATTTTGATATAATATACTTTTATTTATGTATTTGCAATTTCTATAGATGGATTTGTAGTTGAAAATTAGATGAAGTTAGCAAAAGAAAGTTTTGAGCTAACAAAAGTTTGAGCTTCATTAAATTTTTCTCAAATAAAGTATTCTGTCTAAAAAGATTTAAATACTTGAAGGGAATATAATTGGGAATATGGATAGTTTAACAAAAAACTCAAGTAAAAAGTCGCAAAAATTAACAAAAATATTGAATATTTTAATTTAATTTAATAAAAATCAAGTTAAAGAGCTTTTATCAACGTGCTGAGCAACCCTCGCTTTACACATTGAGTACTTTAGAAAATTTCGCCTGCTTTGAAAAGAGTTAAGAATTTAAATAGCTTAGCAGAAAGTTTTAGCTAGTGCACAGAATATAGCTCTTATACATAGTAATATATATAGATATATATTTAAGCGGACAGACATGAGATCCATAATATATAATAAAATAACATAGAGTTTAACTAGATCCTGGCTGATCCTTAGTTCGATTGGCGCGTGTGCCGTATGACCGAGGCCAGATAGCAGGCGAGCACAATGCCCAGAATTTGTATGAAGGCGATGCCGATGCCAACTCCAATCAGGATAACGGCGTTCTTATCGATGCGCTCCTTCAGCTTGCCGACGCAGCCCTCCTGGTAGTACTTGTCCTTGCCCAGGGCCGGAGACTCGGTGCAGTGCCCGACGGCGGCGTCAATGAACTGCGGCTGACAGCAGCTGGCCGGCAGCGTCTTGTTCAGGCTGAGGGCACGCCAGTCGGCCGGGGTGTCCACGCCGCAGCACATCAGCTTGCGCTGCACATTGTCCCAGGCGATGGTGTCCTCGCTGTTGGAGCGCTTGATGGACTCCTGCAGCGAGTTCTTCAGCATGCCCTCCAGATCCTTCTTGAAAACGCTCGCCGCAATGCCCACGGCCAGCTCAACGATGAAGATGATGGCCAGCAGCACGGCATACTGTGAAGTGGGATTGGTGGTATGTTCATTAAGTGAGGGAGTGAGAGCGAGTGGGAGAGGTGTATCTACCGTTAGAAGCAGCGTGGGCGACTCCTTGATGGCACCAAAGCAGCCCAGCGAGGCAATCAGAAATATGACCAGCCCCGTGACGATCAGCACAATGGGCGGCGCCATCACGCGTCCCTCCACAAAGTGATTGAACTCGCGGACATCGGCCAGAACGATGGCGCCGGCCACCAAAATGCCCAAGCCAGAAAGCTGCATGATGCATAAAAATGGGAATGAGACGTTAGACAAAAATATTTAGTATCCACTATGAAAATATATCTATAAAAAATATTTCTTATACAAAATACAAATTAAATAAAACAAAAATAAATTAAACTTGTTTCGCACCCGGATTCGAACCCGGGTCTGATGCTTTACTTATGCTGTTTTGTTATGTTGCACGTCAAATATCACTAATATAAATAACATTTCCAATACGAATAAAAAGCCTTCAAACGCAGCCAAGATTTGAACCCAGGTCCTGCTGATTCTTGGCAGAGACCATCTCTTCGCAGTCAGCCCACGTCTTCAATTTTTTCTGGCAGCTATAGCGCAATTATTTATGAAGGTAAACTACTAGCTACTTATTCAGTTCAATTCATAATTATGTACGAAGGAGGAGGAGTATGCTGAAAGGAGAGTGAGTAGAGGTATTGTCATGTCTGGGCGAGCACTCATAGGGAGAGCAATGCTACCGCTCTTACAAGAAGCACAGCAACTACGGCTCTTCACAGTGTTAATTGGTTATGACTTAACATAATCCTAATGACTGTAGCTCTAAAGACGTAAAAGCTCTGAATTAAAAACTTCAGTTGGGTACTCCATAGTTTCCACGTGAAATATGAACATAATCAGCAATACTAATGGCTTTAGCTAAAACTCTGCTGCAAGGACTGTGCTGCAGATGCTGATCAACAGTATATTTATATATTGTTTTTACCTCTGCATATTACATACATTCTAATATTATAGCTCTGAATGTTCACATTCAATGGTCATGCACATAAAAGTAACCTGACAATCGATTTTCTATAAAGAGCGGCTATTATATAGCCTATAACAAATCCAAAGCACAATTTGCTTAATGACCCAAACAATCAGACCAACGCTCTTGCTCACCGTGCACCTAATTGTGTCGGAGTGTGTGCGTGAGTGAGTGTCTGTGCTTGTGTCTGTGTCAGTAAGCGTGTGTGTGTTGCCTGTATTAGCAACTCTAATTGCCTGATAAGGCATCAGCCATTGCCATGGACATTGGCCAAGTCAATGGCATTTGCATGTCGTCATTTCTATTTCTCTTCTTCTGCTCATGCCGCTGCTTCAGCTCTGTTGTTGCTTCTGCTCTGCCTCTGCCGGTGCTGCTGCTCAAAGGGCTTTGCCTCGTGGCATTGAAATTTTCGTTGCCTACTTTTGAGCGCAGCAAATTAAATGCAATTTATCCATGTCAGCTTTATCCGTTTATCCATCATTATCCGCCGTGCGCAAACAATTATCCATTGACATAGTTTAATCTAGATTCAGTTTTTAAAGAGCATCTAATTCCATGTCCTTTTTATTTGATTACGTGTGTATAAATTAAGTCCGAATCACGCAATTCCACTGAATGACAAATAAAAAATGTAATTTTCATTTTTTTTTTTAATCTATTATCTGATAAATAAATTATGTTGTTAAAAGTTGATTAACTGTTGATGGCTTTGTTTGTTTATTAGACTATTGAGTAATAGTTGATAACTATCAATTCATTTATTATTTGTTTGGACTGCAATCAAATTTTTACAGTTTTATATATTTATTGTATAATATTTTTATTGCACTTTATTGTTTTATAAACTGACTGAATAAAGCTGACCATAGAAAAGCCTAATATAGAAAAAAAGTCTTATAATGAAAACTATTTATTATTTAAAGAAGCGTCAAGCTTTTCCATTTGATTAATACAAATTTCTACATAAGTATATGGTATTTATTTAAAATTAAATCATTCTAGTTCTAGATCTAGTTAGCCTCATGCTGAACTGCAGCTTCGAGTATTGTAGCTTAGGATATTTATCTTTGTAGAATTCAGGACTAACTTGATCATAATATGTTTTAAGTAAATGGCTTCGTCTTTTGAATTTTAGATTTAATTTTAGCTGAATGTAAAAGGAGCCACCATAAGTGTCTATAATTATAAATAACTAGCGAGAGGTGACCAAAAATTGTTATTTGATATTTGTGTATGTTTTTAAAGATTGTTCATCATATAGGTATAGTGTTTGTATATTTAATGTGAGTTATAATCAAACAGATAAAGTTCTATATAATCTTTTAGTAGATTGTAAGGAAACGACTATAAGGTGTCTTTAAGGCTCTAAGAAAATTCCATGTCTAATAAGGTCATTCAAAATAGTACACAAAGATGGCGCAAAGATACGGCTAGGTCAACACGACTCTTTACGTTCATGAAGTTCATTAAGGGGAAAAATAAAAATTCCTTAAAGTCAATTATGCACGAGGTTGTAATTTTAATAAGCTGACGTGCTGGAAAGTCATATAAATTAATAAATATGATATATTTATATTCCACTTTACATTTCTATTTTTATAATTTCCCACTCCCAACCCAACTCTTGAGCTTTCTTTACTTACCGCAAATAGAACATTGAAGGCAAATAGAATATATTTGATTAAGCTGGGTCCACAGGCGCGCATTTTGATTCTCATTAAGGAGTCAAAGTCCAATAAAGTCGTTTAAAAATAGTTTCTCGTCTCTGGATATTCCAAAATTAGTAGACCTATGCAATGGGTAAGCTATGACTTTTAGTTGACTTTGAGGGAACGCGCGCGTCTGCTCAAAGTGCCGTTACGATTGGAACTGACCAACTGCACGGCACGGCTACTGGCCAAGCTAACGATGTTGGCAACCAAGTCCGCCTTCTGTTGTGGCCACAATGGCTGACAACCGACGCGCCGGGAGCTGCTTGACTCCAAGCTCACATTGGTCATTACAGCAGGCAAAAGTGAGTGAAAGTATTTTCGAGAAAGAAGAAAAAAAAAAAAAAGCAGAAAAAACCGTATTCAGGCCAGGTGATTAGGCCGCCTCGCTATCGACCAGGAATCGGAGGAGGGAGCGTGCTCCGGGTTTTTATGCTTTGTAACCCATTTCATAGAATCACACACACACATACATGCACTCATACTGCTTTACAGTGCCGCCTCCGTGTTTGCGGCTCCTACAACTTTGACCAAAGTTTCCAGACGCTAGCGTAAGGCTTTCTGGGTCGCCTACGGCTTCCGCTAAGCGCGGGCCCAAGTGGGTAACAAGTCATTGCACTCATTAGGTGCGCAGAAAGTGCGAGTTGAATAGCTACTTACACCTAGGTGCGCGTATTTACCTTTAAAGTTCAACTACTTGACAGCCACAACTATTTGCATGGGTGGCTTACAATATTATCCATAAAATATATTTAAAATTACTATGGGAAAACGTGAGCTATATTTGCACTTGGCTTAGTAATGAAGGTAAATATTTATTAATTATTAATATTAAATTAAGTTAAACAAATTTGACAAGCAAATAGCAGATTTGCTAGCTTAACTTGAAGATAAATATATTATTTTAAACTTCTAACTATTATATATGAAGATAAATAAAAAGGTACTTGAAAAAAAAAGTTATTATAAATTAAGAGCAGCTTGACTTGGATGTTTTTCCTTGGCTCGCTTTGATTACTTACCATAAATACAGACATTTAACTTGACGATAAATATAATATGTACTGAAACTTAAAAGGCGTTTTCGGAAATACAATAACAGCTACTTGGGAAAACTCAAGCCAGCTGTAAGCTCTCACTCGGCACATCATTTCTACTCCTTATAGAATAAGTTTAAAGAATTCCTAGAAATAATCAACTCACATCTATCACATTGGCACATTAAGGTCAGCTAAATCAGCTCGGTACGCTTTTTCTAGGTTTTCTTTACATATATATTATATTTAGGCCTATGAGTAAATCTTCCAAATATAAATTGGCATGCATTGAGGCCGGCTAGTTTTTCAGAAAATTACTGTTTCTTTGAATAAGAGACATTTTATAAGTAAATCCTATAAATCCTTTGAATACATGCATTAATATAGGCCAGCTAATTCTTCTGGGAATTGCCACAAACCAAGCGTCTGGCTCTAAGTTTTAGCCAAGTAAACATATATCAGGCTATATAAATAGATTTATTACTAAGGAATCGACCCACGTAGAAATGTGGACCGCCCGACGTCATAGGCCTAAATAATTGCGTGCTTCCATGTGAATAACGGTGAAAGTTATAAATGCTATTCAAGAAATAAATGCCAGACTGTGCGAATAATTAAAGAACTCTGGCAATTCCAGTTGGCACCTAGAGCTATGCCAAAAGTCTGTCATCAATTTGGGCACGGGGGAGGTCGCCACCTAGAAGGACTTTGGCTTGATTTAAATGTTGCGTGTTTGGCCCATTTGTGTTTGTATTTGTATTTGTATTTGTTTTATTCTAAAGGCGAAATCCAACTGTGAGTTACTTCACATTATCTGATCGGAGAAATCTCGACAACTCTCGCTGTGGCATTTGGGTTGATGGGAGTGCGATTCGGTTAGATTTTCGGATATATTGGGTATATAAGAAATAGTTAAGTTTATTATCGATGAAATCGTTGGGGCAATTTACAAGTTTATGCAATGGGAGTATTTCCTTGTTTTGTATATAATAATATTTAAGTACAGTGCATGGCATACGATATGAGTGTGGATTAATTATTGTTCATAGTGTGTGCATAATAATATATTTGATCACAGTCCACATGCAATGATCAGAGCAACTACGACGGTCACAATGGACAGGGATTGACGCAGTGCATCCGCACCGCCGCCGCGGCAGGGCCATTCGTCCACATCCGACCTACAAGTAGAGTTAATGGCATTAGGATAGGAGTGCAGCTAGTCGAACGAGTGTGGAAAGTGGGCGGGGCTGCAGTACATAGAACATTGAACATTGAATGGAACCCTTATAGATAGTACGGATATGCGTATGGATAAGGATGGCGCAGTAGTGGATAGATAACATGATCGCGAGGCTGATCGTGCGGCACATAAAATGTAGGCTGATTTGCAGTGTGGTGGGTGCGTTGACGAGTGCTGTGCAATGCTGATGCTTCAATGGATTCAGCTTGTTCGGGTAGTGGTTCAGGTAGTGGTTCGGCCTGTTCATATGGTGCAAGCGTGCTGCAAAAACAAAAGCAGGCCCAGCGGAAAATGGAGTTGATTCAGGCACATGTATGCAATAGAGTGTGTGTTTGTGTGTGTGCGGGTGGATGAACTCAGTGTGGTTAAACAAACACAATTATGTGAATTAGTTGGCTAATGAATAGCATGGCAATATACATGCGTTCTAATGATTTTAGTATCAAGGTGCACAAGTTCCCACCTACCACTCGGACAACCTGACATTATACGTTTATTTAGGTTTACAATAATATTAATGACGACGCAGGAAAGCAAGCTACAAGTAAACAAATATAGCAGTAAAGTGTCGATAGGGAGAGATAGTAAAATAAAACAGACCAGTCATTCAATGTGTTATATATATGAGCTTTTTATATGTATGGAACATGAATGAAGCAAATGAGTAGTGCGGAAAGTTAAACACACAGACATACATATAGAAAATATATGTAGGTATAACAGCTCTGCTTGAGTGAACGATTAGATTGCCATAGTGTGAATGTATAACAGCTCTGCTTGAGTAAACGCTCATTGGCGCTGCATAAATGTATAACAAATATGGGCACTTCCTACCTACGACAAGTTGGACACACGGACAATATATACACATGCATCGAAATATGGATTGTGACAGTAAGAGTGAGAGAGTCCAAAAATTAGACAGTCATTAAATACGGTATGTAAAAGCTTATATATATATGTATATATTAGTATATACAATGGTATTAGTGCTAGTTGAACTACGTGAATGTATATAATAACATAAGGAATTGCTTGGCAAACGCTTACGCTCGTGTACACTGCAGAAATATGCAACAAATATTGCTTTAAGCCTAACTTAACAAAAGGCTGTCAAGAATACATACATGCATGAATTTATTACGAGAGTGAGAGAGAGAGAGAGGGGCAGAAAGAGAGAGATCAGAAAATAGCTAGTCACTCAATGCGCTATATAAAAGCTAATTAGAGATGTGCACATGTATAAAAGATATGAGTGAAAGAAATGTGAAAGTGTAAAAATTGAACTCCTTGAATATATAAAATAAATAATGAGATAGACACTCATTAGCAGAGTGAACAAATTTATAACAGCCATGCTAAGGCGCTGCATGAATGTATAACAAAAATTCTGTAGACTTACTAATGGCAGGACACAAGCATGTGCAGAGAAGTATACGCGCCACACACCCACACATACACATAACTATTGATATGCATAGCCAATAGGAGCCTGCCAATTCAAAGTGTTATAAGTGTACGTGCTCAGTGGAAATATGTAAATGTATGACAAATATAACAATATGATTGCTTAGACGCTCACTAAGTATAGCTTATAACTTATATAAGAGAGCAAAGGCAATAAGTGATGAGTAGGCGTGCATAGTACAGTTACATTAACAGTTACAGTTAGCAGTGAAAGAGACGCACACATTGTGAGAAAGTTATTTATTAGCTGACGCAAATGAGAAAAGTTATCTTTTTGTTGCTTCAGAAAAAAGGACAACAATTGAACTTGAAACTTGAACATTAACAGATATTTACTTAATGCCAATAACACCGCAGGCTGTAAAGAGAAAATCAGAATAGGATATTTAATATGTGATTTGTTGCCAAGCTTTTGTTATACGCACCGATGCGGCCGCCAGCATTGCCCGTCTTCTTGGAGTCGGTGTGATTGCCCAGGCCCAGATCGTCCTCCATCTCGTGCAGGACAACGCTGCGTCCGATGATGGTACGCTTGCCGCTCAGGCTGATCACGGAGTCTGTGTAGGTGATGTCGATAGTCCGGCTGGCGTTCACCTCAATGTTGCCCAGATCGCCCACGTGACGCACCTCGTGATCGGGCGCACCGTGATCCACCTTGTCGGGATTGTAGTGCCCGCCCAGGCTGGCACAGCCATTGCTTAGATCTCCCTTCTCGTGTATGTGGAAGCCGTGCTTGCCCTCCATCACGTTCTCCAGCTGGATGCGCACATGCACACTCTGGCCGCAGTCATTCTGAATGAAGGTGACATTTCCTTTCACCTGCGTGTTGTCCGACTGCGGTGGGCCAGTCAAATGTGCAATCGCCTCCATAGGTTGGTTGCGCTTTAAATAGAAACATATATTAAAAACATTGCATTTTAATATTATAATTCGTAGTTATACTTACAGTTTGTGCAGCGGCACAGATCGTGGCACAGAGAGCCAGTGTGACGGTGAGAAGGCGCAGCATCTTGATCTGCAAAATAAAAGTGAGAATAAGTCAGTATTCGCTTATAATATATAGGTATATATATAGCATAAAAACATTCAAACAAATTCATTTTCATTTGTTTTCATTGCGTCAGAGCGCTACCTTGATCTATGTCCGTACTGCTCTCTGCCTAGCTGCCTGACTGCCTGCCTACCTGTCTACCCGCTTCCCTTTCACTGTGCTCTCACCTTCACTCAACACTTTGATCGGACGGGTTTTATCCAATTAAGAGACGAGCGCACTTTGATTATTTCCATACACGAGCTCACAGAACTATCCGGCTCATTGCTGAGGCTTACTAGCATTAGAGATGATCTATGTAACACAGCAATGAGTGGAACTGCTTTGCCACTATATGAATTTAGCTAGAATTGTGTGTTCTCTTAGCTAAAAACATTTAAGACTTTATAAATATTTTGGAATATTTTTATATGTATATTTAGTATAATTATTTTGTTATTATATATGCATGCATATTTGTTTTATATTTATAGATTTTTAGTTTATTTGCTAAGCTAATATAAATTCTCGATAAATAATTTAAGTTGAATCGTAAAATGCATTAAAAAATATAATTTATAAACATACATGTTTACAAATCAAATTCGCTGTAAGAAATTGATTTCTTATAGTAAATTAGAAGTTTTTTTTTATAAAGCTCAGCCAACTATTTGGAAACGTGTTCAACTTTTAGTTATCAGCGAAATGTTATAGGCTTTTACGAATTTAGAAAGGAATATACTCCAAAAGTACAAATATCTGATTGAAATTAACAGAAAAGCTAAATTAAACTCAAAAAAAAATAATTTCTACAATAACAGTTCTTTAAAAACATTTAACAAACCTTTTTTATAGTTCGAAGATAAACACAACAAGAAAAAAACCCGTAAATTAATTAAAGTACAAAATCAAATAGATAAGATTTGTCTTATTAGGAATTTTACGCATGATTGCGTTATGTCAGTGTAGGTCTAAATTTTTTTTTTTTGTATTATATAAAAATAAGTTTTGTTTCATATTGAAAGCGGTTTTAAATTTTCTTGTTGAAATGAAACCTTCAATTATAGGTTTGTCACATTAAAAAAAATACAAACAGATCAAATATATAGTATTAAAAATATCTAATAAATAATTCTAAAAATTTAAAATTTTATTTATTGTTTATTTATATATTTTATCAAATTTTTTTTTATTATATTTATATTTTTGCACATTTTTTATTACTTATATACTTTCTAGATTGCGCATCTCTATGAAATCCAAACAGCTGATTGTTCAGCTCGTGCAATAATTTGAACTTATTTAATTTTCTTTTGTGTACGGAATTAAAGCGCTTAACCTCAGTTTGCGACACGATTTGTGGGTCATGCACATTGCTCAAATATGATATATATATGTGTATAGACTATATAATATGTATTTTCTATATATTGGCTCACTTTTGTCTATGCTTTATATATCTGTAGATATATGTACATGTATGCCATGTACAGGCAAATGAAAACAGCCTTTTCACAGGGTTAAGTTCCGCACTTACTGGCCAACAAGTCGACGTAGTCGACGTCACTTGAGCCAAGGCCAAATCAACAAGCAACAAACAACAATCTCTTTGCTGTACGCACTTCTCGATTATGAGTGCGAATTATAAATTGAAACAACTCAAAATATGTCTGTGGAATGCGCGTAGTTTATGGCTAGAACGAATTTTTGGAGTGCTTATGCGCGTTCTGTTTGTAACAAGTGTATATGGGTTGGGTTAATCCCGTCTGGAAAGTTGCCTATGGAGTTGATCATCTGATGAAATGTTGAGTTATTTACGTTTACTGAAAGCCTGGAATACAGGCAATCTTAAAAACTTGGCAAATAGTTTAATTTATGGGTACCTAGATTATTCGATAATAATTTATATTTTAAATTAGAAAATAATTTGCGGACTTATACCTTTTCGATGTAAAAACTCTTTTCATTTTATAATATCAACATATCTTGGAATTTTTCGATTTATTGGTAAGAATAGACTTAATTTTCTTTTTCTAAGGAAGCAAAATGTATGAGGGTATTGCAGTTTTTACCGAATTCTTATCGAACTAAAAAAACACTAATGGGATAACTTTAATGGAGAGGAAATAAAGTGTTGCGGAAGAGTTGTTATTGAGTGAATGATTTGATAAATTTTAAGATAACAGAGTTTACTGTAATAGCTATTACTGATAATAATTTCAGAAAAAGTATATGTTGTTGAATTTTCCCAGTATATGTTGAGTGTTTTTATTAATAATTAAAAAATCATTAATCATTAGAATGTTTTTTTGTTAATGTCTAAAATTAAAGTTATAATTACGTTAATTTACATATATAAAAAATATATAAACTTTTTTTTTATATATTTACATATATGCAAGAAGAAATTCTAACTAATGTTAGGGTATCTGCCGGCTACTCATTCACTCTCATTGGCCACTCACTGTCTGCTTACTTTATGTAGCGCTTATCTCAGTTAACGCTTAACTTACTCGACTTATTGAGCTTCTGCTGATTGTACAATGTAAAATTCGACGATCATTTTCAGAAGTTATGGCGTCGTATACTTGAGTCTGACTGTCGGCACGCAAATCGATATTCTCACGGATAAGATACGTCTAAAGTTTAGTTGTCATGCGTTCTAGCTGCTCGGGTATACTAAATGGCTTTTTCTCAGTTTCACTTAATTTCAGTCTGAATAGCATTCCCTATAATGGCCAATCATTTGTCATGTTCGAAGAACTATCATTAGGGCGTTTTCCCCAGGTTGATTGATTGATGAAAGAATAATGAACTCTTTGCGCTCTTTAATGAATGAAAAGTGTCACTAGGCAATGACTACTGTAGCTACTCTAATCTTTGGGTTGAAAATGATTTGCAATTTCCTAATCTATATTTAAAGATCGTAAGTGAAAAGTTCCTGTATAAATTTTATTTAGTTAAACTAAAACTATTTATGACTATACGTAATTACACTAAAACTAATGCACTGACAAAAATGTTTGATTCGAACAGATAATAACTACGTTGAAATCTGTTATACAATAAATATGCCACTGTAACATTTGCCCTATATATAATTGTAGTACACATTTTTTTGTTTACCAATATTAACACGTTCAACGCATTTCATACCTACCCTGACCACATTGGGAAATCAGGGTATAATGTTTTTAGTAAAAAATGTTTACACTGAACTCATTGCGGGTATATTGATTTAGTGAACTAGTAGGTTTATTTATATAACAGTTCTAGTTTCTTTCAAATACTCAATATTTTCAGTGTCGAGAAAAACTATATCGAGATTCAGTTATAAAAGCACTTTAGAAATACAATTTATGATTATGATAATATATGGATTATTCCATATATCTATTGCTTATAATTTTGAATAATTTGAGTGAATTAGGGTACATATAGGGTATCTTCTGGTTTTATTTATTATTTAATAATTTAATATTTATTATTAATAACATTTATATTAAACAAAAAATTATATATACAGTTTAATTTTTCTACGCTAGAGTATCTATTAAAAGCAAAATATTTTTGTTTGTTTCTATAATTATATTGAATGACCCTGAATTTCGGATGCTAATTGGCAAAGGTAATCTCTGTTCCCATATAGATAACAACAATAGATATGCTTTGTAGTGAGACTTTAATTAGCATACAATTATCTGTGGATAGTTAAACGATAGTTTTAGTTGAGCTCAAGTGTGATGCCAGCTCGTTGTCGCTCAGATGAGATCTCAACATCAATTGTTTTATAGCTGCATATCAAAATATCTAATTATAAGCGTTGGTTAACGACATATTTTCGAATTTGACTTAGGCAAAGCGGTAGTAAAATATTTTCGAGTATGACTAAGGAAACAGCCGCTCCTTCGAAAATGCTCGAATTTACCTGCGAATTCGGCCAAAGCAAAACAGAAGCAAAGGCAACGTATCGACTGCAGCTTTGCTTATTAACGTGTTGCTTGTTCTTTTCGATTCTGTTTTTCGGCTACATATGTACATCTGTACTGTGCGTGTGTGGGTGTATAACAGGTTACTGTAACCCACATGCAAGGGCGAACGACCATTGAACGCACAAATATTAAGGTATCATTTAAACTCCGTTTGCAGTTGTGCGAAAACTGGTTTTGTTAATTGTTCAATTGAACACAATATTAATACAGCATTTTAGCACGTTCTACTGTCTTATTTATTCTCAGTTTATTTTGTTTTTATTTTTATTGAAATTGTAGCAGCCCCAGCACTTACCTAGTTAACAGCTGATTTAGTGTGATTTTGTTGTTTTAGTTCGTATTTATTAATTAATAGCACTGAAACTGACTTTACAGCAATATGAACAATTTACCGCTTTGATTGGAATGCAGCGAAGCTTTGGTTTGGAGACCTGCCGAGCAACTGATTTTAAATTTCCCATCGCTGGCGCAAGTCGAGTCTGAGAGTACTTGTGATGCCAGCGCTAACGCCGACGCCAGCGCTGACGTCGACGTCAACGGTAACGTTGTGGCTGGCAAGACACGAACAACGATCGTGCGCTATCGTTCAGTCATCCTCCTGTTATACGCTCACTAGCTCTTTCTCTCTTGCGCTCATGCTCATCTGCTATGTTTAAAATAGTTAGAATACGCTACCTGCGCTCAGTGCATTTTCGTTAACTCACTTTGCTCTCTCTCTCTTTCTGTTTGTCATTCGCTCAACCGTTGTTAGACTACACTCTCTTCTTACTTGCAGTTTTACACGATTATGGAATTTTATCTAACATTATTTTTGTTTATCTCCTGCACTCGCTCTGTTTCTCTCGCTGCCTTTGGCTTATCAGCTCTGCCTGTATTGAAATGCTGTTATGCTAAAACAATAATATTTATTCAAGTATTCGAGTATTCCAGTGTTATACAACGTGAGCGCCAAACACGACTACGTGAGTTCCATTCAAATACTTATCATATGCAAATATATTATGAATGAAGCAATATGATCGTGCGCTTCGCTACGAAACTACAAAATCGAGAATATTTAAAAATAATTTAAGCTAAATGAGTTTCTGTCTTGCACTGACCCCAGATAATGCAATTTTGAATTGATGAAAAATTGTTATACATATGACATACTTCTAGCGCCTCTGTAATACTGAAGAGTAATTCTTTGAATATTACATATCATTTATCAGCTAATAGAGCACTGTAGAAAGACATCTATAAAGACCGATTAGCAATCTAAATAGTTTTTGGCGATACAAAGTGTTATTTGCTTGTGGGCCAAAATCTAATCTTATCTGACCCACATACATATGTATATGCGATAAATTCCTCATATATGTGCTCATTTTATAATACATCACATTACCTTTTATTTTGAAAGTAAAGTTTGACAGCCTAAAAATATATTAATTCATTCGCAGAAATTTCTATCAATTTATCCACTCCGAAAAATAAATAAAATCCATTGATTTAGAATGCAAACAGTTGTGTATTTACAGAATGGAATTGTGCTAATAGAGTTTGGATAGAGTCTTGCCTCGACCAAGCCACAAATGATGAGCTCTGGTAAGTGCAAAAGTTATACATACATATTCATTTATATAGATAGAGATTTAGGTATAGATATAGCTACAGCTATACGTGGAATTCTATGTTTATGATAAAATTTCACAAATTACAATTTAAATTAGGTTTCTTGTTGCACATGTCCGCCTGTTGGGTTCGACAGCTGCAGCGCAGCTGTTGCTCCAATAAAATATTTGTGTATAATCTAAGTCCCAGTGGGGATGACGGCTCAGATGAGCTTGTGCCTGCCCAGGGAGGCTGTGTGCATGGGACTGCAGTTCTCGATGAGAGTTGCGGATTGACCCTGCACCTGGCTCTGGCTCTGGCTCTCTTCGCTGGGCGAGGAGCCGCCGCTGGCGCTGCTGTTGTGATGGACGCGCTTCATGGGCCGCTTGCGATCCACATGCTCCGAGCTGGGATTCAGCTCCACAGTCTGCAGGCTCTGGGCGCGCTGCAGCGACAGACGCAGCGGCTTCTTGGGCGGCGTGGGTCGATGGACGGCGCGGCTGCCCGTCGAGGGTTTCGATTCGTTTTCGCTGTCAAAGTCGAGCGACTTTACGCTGCGCACGTCGCTCGGCAGGCGAGTGGAACGCAGGGTTTGCGCCTCGTGCTGGCGGGGCGTGTCACGGCGACGTTCCTGACTAGGGGGGGAGATGAAAGGAGAGAGTTGTTAGTATATTTATAGGTGGATCTTAATCAGCATCTTCTGTCCATTCTTACCCATTGTATTGATTGAGATGCTCCACGCTGCGCGCATGCGTGCTCATGATRTGCTCCCTGTGCAGCTGCTGCTGCTGCTGCAGTGCATCCCGCGGTCTCTCCCGCTCCCTGTTGCGCTCGTGTCGCTCGCGCTGGCGCTCCTTCTCCCGCTTCTGCGGCTGCTGCATGTAGGCCGAGTCGCTGTTGATGGATATCTTGGAGGCGGACAGCGACTTGGACGGCATCGTATACAGATGCGACTGGGGCAGGCGCTCGCGCAGATCGATATGGGTGTTCTCCTTGATCAGCGTCTTGGTGACATGCGATGGCGGCAGCATCTCGTCGCCCACCAGCTCAATTGGTTTACCGCCCACGAGCGTCGTGATGTAGTTGCCCCGCTGGAAGATCAGCGGCTTGTCCGGCGGCGTCGAGGGCGACGCTGGCGACGATATGCTTATGCTGGTCACATGTGCATTATTCGATTGTGTGGACAATTGTTGCTTGGACTGCTGGGATTGGAGCTGCTGCTGCTGTTGCTGCTGTTGCTCCTTCACTGTCTGCAGTTCGCGCACTTGCTCTTCCAGGTAGGAGATGCGATGCTGTAGACGCATGTTGTTCTCCTTCTCCTGGTCCAGCTGCTTCTGGGGTATGGGCACAGACTTCTTGCGCAGCACCACCATCTGGCACTTGCCCGAGTTGCCCACGTGCTTCTGCAGCTCCTCTTTGGTCTTGCTAGTCACAAGTCGTCCATTGATCTCCAGTATGCGATCCCCTTTGTACAGTCCGTCGCCCTCGAGGGCCCATTCCACAAAGAAGCCCGGCTGATCGGGCCGCTGCTGGGCCGCCCAGCGGCCGGTTGTGGCGTGCACGGCGTGCAGACTCAATGTTACGCCGGAGCTAATGATGTTGTAGAGCGTTTGTGCCTCCGGCTTGGACTTCTCCAGGCGAGCCTGCAGCGCACGCGCCTCCTCCACAATCGAGAGCATCTGCAGCTCCTCACGGCCCAATGCATACTCCAGTTCCGCCTGCCGGATTCGTATGTCTATATTGCTACGGAAGAGAGGGAGAAGTCAGTAAGCTGTAGGGATTACTTTGGCTCAGTTCACTCACTCTGTTATATCCAGCTTCTCCAGTGCGCTCTTCAAGTTCTTGATTTTGATGCGTTTGTTCTCCGCCTCAGCCTTCAGGCGATTCAATTTGTGCTCCGCCGCTGGCTTCTCCGACTCATCGAGGGGCGGGCCACTGGGGCGGGGCAGCTTGCCCAGACAGAGCTGAATGCGCAAGTTCTGGATGACAGCCTCGCGATCCTGCAGCGCAGAGCGCAACTCCTTCGACTCGCTGCGTGTGGAGCGAGAGGAGAGTGTTCCACCTAGAGATCCGCCCTTGCGCCTCCTGCCCGTGGTGGAGCAATGCGACGAGGCGCTGCTCAAATGCAGCTGCGTCTCGTGATTGTTCTCGGACGCCGCGTGCAGACTGTACTTGGCCGCACTGGCGCAGCTCTTTGGATTGAGTATGGTCTGAAAGGGAGCGAGAAGATGGATAGAGGGATTAAATTAATGAGAATTAAGTAGGAGTCTAGGGAATCTAAGCTCCATATGTGAATTGAATTGAGAACTGTATTTGCACATTATTCATTTTATTAAAGAAGAAAGTCCAATAATGTAATTATATCATATGATGGGGTCTCTCTTATATGAGATAGATAGAGAATTGATTTCAGATCAGTGTAGATTTGTATGTATCATATCTATGTATCATAGATTGAATGGAATCATTAGAGAGTATCAATTATTATATGATTGGCATTGCCTAATAGATTTTCGTATAATATCAATTAAGTACTAAAGTACTAAAATAAACACTTTATACTACTATAATGTATTAATTAATATATTTATATA